CCCGGCCTCAATGTACCCTTCTTGATATCATTTGCACGATTCTCACAATATCACCTTAAGTCCTTTCCTGCCACTTAACTGTAATGGCCCTGGATTCCTACAAAAGGGACAAACGACTACTTGTAAAAGATGTACAAAGTCTGGCTTCTGAGCAGAGTAGACCTATCCTGCCACTCCCTCCAAGGTTCTCTTGGTAGGCTCTAGAGCTGGAGTTGGCTTTGGCTTGAATACTTACTCCCTAGGTGACTCTGGACAAATTATTTGACTTCTCTGAGCCTCGACTCCCTAATTTGTAAGAAGGAAATAATGACAATAGCACACACCTCACAGAGTGTGCATGTTGAGTGAGTACTTCAGCCTGGGGAGACGGCTGAATCCCTCCCTGTGCTGGAGACCAGTTACCTCCATCCTGTCTTGCCCCAGCTCACCTGGGTCCTGATGGCCTTCTGTAGCAGCTCCTTCCCTCTGCTCATAGGCACCTGACGGAGAGAAGAGGAATGAGGTCTGCTGTGTAGACCGCCTATGCCCCGACAGACGTTTACACATGAGCTGGTGAGGTTGTCTGGAGGTGATGTGCCTTGGAACGCTAGGAGCAGTGACAGCTGAGGATTGACAGAAATGAGAGCCTAGAACACCTTCAGGGGGTAAAGGTAAAGCCACGCCTAAGTTCAGGTCACCCAGCGGTAACTGCCTGGGCAGCCTGAACCCTGCTGGATAAAGGTACTCAGAATCCACCTGAGGTCAAATTGTTCCAAATGTTCTTAGACCTCTCTGTAAGAGTTTCTGTATTCTCTAGAAGATAATGATGGGAAATGTCTCCCTTTAAAAAAACCTGTTTTTTGCTCCTTGGAAGTAACTATCTCTTATCACAATGCCAACAGCATGTGTTCATGGATGTTTTAATACTAGCCTAAGTTAAGAGACAATAAAAATGTAAGCCTAGGGGTAAAAAAGCCATATTGCATTCTAAGTCTAAGACATGACACATGCATCGTCCAAACTGTTGGACCTTCATGCACGAGAGCAAGGCAGAGGGAACTGCCTTGGAGTTCAGGGTGCTCCTGCCCAAGCCTAGGTTAGTTCCAACAAGTCTTCTCTGGTTTACAGAGGACTCTCCTTTTGTTTCTGAATCTCTGACTTTGAATCCCATAAAAAGTGACATATAGTGGCCAGGCGCAGTGGTTCATGCCTGTAATCCCAGCACTTTGGGAAGCTAAGGTGGGAGGATTGCTTGAGGCCAGGAGTTCAAGACCAGCCTGGGCAACATAGCAAGATGCCATCTCCACAAAAATAATTAAGACAATTAGCTGGGCATGGTGGTGTGTGCCTGTAGTCCTAGCTACTTGGGAGGCTGAGGCAGGAGGATCACTTGAGCCCAGGAGTTTGGGGTTGCTGTGAGCTATGTTAGTGCCACTGCACTCCAGCCTGGGTAACAGATTAAGACCCTGTCTCCGGAAAAAAAAAAAAGACATATAGCATAGAAGGGATAGCATGTTGCTGAGGTATTCAGATCCAGAGCTATGAAAAAATATTCTCAGTCCCTGAATTCAAAGGAGAGATTAAATTAAGCCAGATGAAATTAAAACCAGAGACTGCCTAAAAGGGCTGACCAAAGCCTACTTCCTTTGTTTACAGAACACACCTTTCCTACCCCATGAGGTTCTTACCAAGTCTACAGATTTTTGTGAAGGCCTGGTGTGGCTGCCTCTTGGATGGGCTATGGCTGATGGTTCCACTCTGACTTCACTGGGGCTAGGGCTGGGGCAGGCTCTGTGGCTTGTCCCACCACTCTCTGCTTTTGCTTCTCTGCGGCTGGACACGATGTAACTTATTTCTTTGCTCAGAAAACCCTCAATTACCTGAAACCAGATCACAGAGGTGGCTGAAAACCAAAAAGCAAATGTAGAATTATCGACATCATGAGGTTACGGAAGGAAATCTTGGCTGCCAAAAGTTCCAGAATCAATGTCTTTAAATAGACTAAATGCAGTTCTGTACCGAGTCCTCCAAAAGGCATCATCCTGAACTATAATGGAGTTTATATATATAATGCAGGTTTTGTCTCCAGAACTGCTGCTCCTGACCCAGGAGCAGAAGGCCACAGGCTTTGAGTTATGTGACCAGTTTGAGTTTGCAGCAAGAACACATTGAAGGGGCTGTCAGGATTAAGAGCAACTCCATTAAGCCACGATCTTTTCCTTGTAAGATACACTGGGACACCCAAACACTACATCTGTAATTTTGATCGCAATACAAAAAGGAGGCTAACAAATGAAGCAAAATGGGTTTTAGCTAACACTTAGCTGCATAAGTACCTGCTCACCCCACCTGACTGTACACCCCTCAGGGGCACCGAGAGGGTGTGACTTATCTTTGTATTCCAAGAACCCAGCACAGTGCCTGAAACATAATGACCCTTAACTCACATTTGGGGGAAGAAGAGAAGATGGAAATAAGCAGCGATAATCTGGCAAATGTTTAACAACTGACTCTGTGGGGAAGAAACCCGTTTTGTACATTTGCTGATTTCTGGGGAGTAAATACATGATGTCACCAAATGAGGAGCTGGAAAGAGATGCTAACAACCGGCTCTTGTGAGCCAGCCCCAGAGCACCATTGAAAATAAAAATGGGTGATGCCGGAAAAGTGTGATTGAAAGAGAAACTTGGCACTTAAGTTAAAAACAAAATGTTTAGGTTCCTCAAAAAGCTAAACATAGAATTACCATACGACCCAGCAATTCTACTCCTATACGCCCAAAAGAATTAAAACAGGGACTTGAACACAGACTTGAATGCTGATGTTCACTGCAGCATTATGCACAAGAGCCAAAAAGTGGAAGCAACCCAAATGACCATCAACAGATGGATGGATAAACAAAATGTGGCATATCCAGACAATGGAATGTTATTCAGCCATAAAAAGAAAGGAAGTTTGGACGTGTGCTATAACATGGATGAATCTTGAAAATATTATGTTAAGTGAAATAAGCCAGACACAAAAGGACAAATATCAGTGATTCCACTGATATGAGGTATCTAGAATAGATAAATTTGTAAGAGTTGAAAAGCAGATTAGTGATCACTAGGGCTGGGGAAAGAAGAAATGGGAGTTATTGCAAGGGGTTGCAGAGTTTCTGTTTGGGTGATAAAGTTTGGAAAACAGATAGGGGTGATGATTATACATACAATAGTATGAAAACAGTTAATGCCAATGAACTGTATATTTAAATTCTCGGAGGCAGAGGCGGGAGGATCACTTGAGGTCAGGAGTTCAAGACCAGCCTGAGCAAGAACGAGACCCTGTCTCTACTAAAAATTGAAAAACTTAGCCAAGCAACTAAAAATAGAAACAAAAAAATTAGCTGGGCGTGGTGACAAGCGCCTGTAGTCCCAGCTGCTTGGGAGGCTGAAGCAGAAGGCTTGCTTGAGCCCAGGAGTTTGAGGTTGCTGTGAGCTAGGTTGATGCCACAGCATTCTAGCGTGGGCAATGGAGTGAGACTCTGTCTCAAAAAAAAAAAGAAAAAGAAAAAGAAAAAGGTTAAAATGGCATATTTTGTTATAAATTAATACATCCTACCACAATTTCAAAAAACCTTTAAAATTGTGGATTGAAGGATTATATCTACCTTCTTCAATATGGCAAAAACAAATGCTAGAAGGTAGGAGTGGGATACTGGTTATCCTCTATAAATGTGATGGGATTGCTTATTGGCCACATATTCCTCCCATCAGGAAGTGGGGCCTATTTTTCTATTGCCTTGACTCTGACTCGTTTTGACCAATAGAATGTGGTGAAAATAATATGTGTGAGTTCAACAGCATAAGCCTTTAGAGGCCTTGCAGCCTCCTCCTTCACTTTCTGGAAGGCTGCCTTCAGAGACCACAGTGTAAACCAGCTGGTCTAGCTTACCATATACACATACAATACTGTGTACACATACAATGTATGAGGAGCCACAGGGTGCTGGATGTGTGAGCGTGGCCATCTTGGTCCTTCCAGCCCAGCTGACCCTCCAGCTGAATGCAGCCCCAGGAGTAAGCCCTGTTGAAACCACCAGAGAAACTACCCAGCCAACCCACAGAATAGTAAGAAATAGTAAATTGTTGTTTTAAGCTCAAGTTCCGGGGTGGTGTTCTACACAGCAAAGCATAAATGACAGAATAGACTAAAAGTTCAAAATGTAATTATGGGCCAGTTTGGGAATGCAATCTTTATCCTTTTTATCCCTACTGCTGAGCGTCTGCGTTTCTGACTTTCTGGTTAGTTTGATAGCACAGAGCCTCTGAATTCCAAGCCTACTCATTCAGTATCTTTTGGGCCAACCATTATCATACTATTTTTTAAACACAAGAAATATCCATGCCAACCCTTATTAAGATTACCATATGACATATGCTTTAGAAATATTTTAATGTTCTCAAATACAGCAAATGCTTTTTACCCCAAAGTTGTTCACCACAGTGTTAGTTCTCGGAGCTAAAAATTACATATAATCTAAATGCCATAGGGCAATGGTTAAGTAAATTAATAATCTACTCAAAAGAATATTATATTCCCATTACAAATAATGCATATGAAAGTCAATAATGATAGGAAAGTGCTAATTCTTTAAGTCATAGGTAAAAAGTTGGTAAACAACAATGTATTCATCATCATAGCTACGCAGAAAACAAGCATAACAAAACAAAGGTAGGACAAAGACAGAAGGTAGATGAGTGTTTACCCAGGGCTGGGGATATTCCCAGGATGTGGGGAATGACTGACTGATAATGGGTACAGGGTTTCTTCTTTGGGGTGATGAAAATGTTCTAAAATTGACTATGTGATCTGATCACACAACTTGCACATCTCTGTGAATATACTAAAAACCACTGAACTGTGAACTTAAAATGGGTGAAATTCATGGTATGTGAATTATTATACTCTCAATAAAGCCATTATGGGAGGAAGGGAAGAAAGAAAAATATATATAAAGATGCTAGCTGTCACTAGTAATTGTAGTTCCACGTTCTCTAAAATATCTAGAATGGATATTACTTTTCCAATTAGAAAAAAACTTTATTTTAAATTTAAAATTGCTTTGGAAAATGTACAATGATGCCATTGAAAAACACCTGGAAACCACAGATATAATCCCTCTCCAACTCCTGCCCTACAACCTGCAAGGACACATGATATCATAAGAGAGAAGCAGGTTACATACCCCACCCAGATGCTGAATAGCCTCTGTCAAAAACTGGAGATTCTTGCCAGCAGGCAGATCCAAGTAAAAGGACTTTCCGGAAAAGGGCTGCCTCCCAGCACCTGGTGAGCTCCTGTGGCATTTTTCCAGGCAACTGGAAACTCCTAGCTGAGCCCCTAGAAAACAACGAAGAGAAGCAAAGTAAGAAGCCTGAGTTAAGAGAGAGTCCTGCAAGCCCAGCCACCCAGTCTGTGTGCTATGCCCCACTCTAGGCCCTGGGCACACAAAGACAACTGGAAAGCTAGAGCTCCTACCCTCACGAAGCTCAGATGTGGAGAAATTGGGACCTTCACACACTGCTGATGGGAATGTAAAACGGTACAACCACTATGGAAAACAGTTTTACAATTTCTCAAAATGTTAAATGTAAAGTTAACATATGACCCAGCAATTCTACTCCTAGGCATATATCCAGGAGAAATGAAAACATGTTTAGATGAAAACTTGTACATAGAAAGGTGCACTAGGTGCGGTGGCACATGCCTGTAGTCCCAACTACTCAGGAGGCTGAGGTGGGAGAACAGCTTGAGCCTAGGAGTTCAAGGCCAACCTAGGCAATATAGTAAGACTCTATCTCTAATAGGAGCTGTTAGAAATTGTCTAGAGAAAGCCTTATTAAGGAAGGTGACATACTTGAAGTAAGAGAGTCCTGCAAGTATCTACGAAAAGAGTTGTTCTAAGTAGAACTGTCTCAATCGCCCCCCCAAAACACAAAAATCCAAACCAAAACAACAACAAAAAACAAGGGTAAAATAAAGACATTCTCAGGCACACAAGCCTCAGAAAGTTTACCACACAAAGCCCACCTTTGAAAACACTGTCGGAGAAAGCTCTCTGGCAAAAAGCAAAATAGATCCAAAAGAAAGCAAAAGCAGGCCGGGCGTCGTGGCTCACGCCTGTAATCCCAGCACTCTGGAAGGCCGAGGCGGGAGGATTGCTTGAGCTCAGGAGTTCGAGACC